AATCCTTCGTATCACAATTAGCTGTGGTCTGTTCCCGATGGTTTTGTGGATCGATTAGTTCATAATTTGGAGACGTCCATAGCATCAAAGCGGTATATCCCTTCATCTCAAGAGACTAGTCCATCAGACTACAGTGCGGACTGTTTTGCTGTATGACTAAGACTTGGCTCATTCGGGCAGCAGAAGTGAGACGTCTTCAGGTGTTTGAGAATCCGCAACAAGGCGATTCGTAAGCGAGTTTTCGGTTGTGCAACGGGAAAGAATGAGTTCAGCACAATAACCTGCGCAGGTTAGGCTATGTGTTGCATATACCGAACCATCGTTTGCCTAGGAGAGTGCTGTTTTCGTGCCCAGTTCTAAGTTGCGGAAGTAGGGAGGTGGCCAACCCTTGATCTGGCTGAAGCATATGAAAGAGATTACGAAACGTTGGGGTGCTGTCGGTGTTACTCGCCTTCTAGGATGGCAACCGCGAAGTCCCTACTCAGCCAGTTGGAGACGCTGCAAGATGTGGCTACTGATCGATGCCAACGGATTTATTGTTGTCAGTTTCCATCCAGATTGCCTGAACGAGTGTCTGGAGGTGTGCGCACTTCGGAATGATTATACTAAGCTAGCACTAAGTCCCTTCCCTGTCCACCTTTATTCTTTTCTTCACACTGATCATCATCATTCTCAGCTGTAATAATCGCGTACCCGTCGTACATTGGTTGTAGCTGCCGCAGTTTCGTTCACCGATGATTGGGGGAGGGAAGGTAGCTGCGCATTTCTGGTGGGAGATGATAAATTGGTGCATAAATCCAGCACTATCAGTGGTCTGTCAGGTGGGGAGACTGTAAAAGGAGCTATGCATTGAAGGCAATAGCTTTGATGAACGAGCGCCATTGAGAGCGCGACTGGGCCATGTCTGACAATGTCTCCAGCCACTGATGTGGCCCGTCTAGGGGTCCCCATCCAGGAAGACGGCAATTACCAGCGCAGCTGAGTTTGCTGGTAATACCTTCCACACTTCGCTGCCAAGTCATTGTTTGACCGCCTCTGACTCTCTTCTACCCCTCACGAGCAAATCGCGG